TCATGACAGAAAATAGCAGACGTAGCAATGACTGTTGCCAATGATTGACATTTAATATAGCTATTCAGACTGATGGCTCTCTTGATGACTGGAATAATCTAACTTGGATATTATTCAAGAGGAGAAAAAGTGATACAGACAGATCATTGATCATTCCTTTCTCCTTTGTTAACCTTTAAAATGTAAGCTTAGGGACTATTTAGAGGTTATTTTGATCTTCTCTTCAAAAACCTATGCCTATGGGGTAGAGCTTCTGGTAAAAGTTTTCAAAAGAAACATAACTCAGCTGGAATATTCCTCTGGCTCTTTGCTTTCACTTTCCTTTCTTTCTGTGGACACAATGCCAATAAGAATAGAGCCATCTTACAACCATAAAGACAGAAGACACATGTTAGGGATAGGACAAAGCAAGGACCCTAGTTCCTTGCTGATATTCTCAAATAGAAGTACCAGCCCTGGAGTGCCTACCTCTAGACTTATATGAGGAAGAAAAATACTCTTTTTGTTTAGTTACTATAGTCTGGTTTTGTTGCTTGAAGCACAATCCTACCCAGATATTTGATTGTCTGCTTTCCCCACTAGATCAGATAGCATGTGTTTTTGATACCTGTGTAAGATAGGAACCTTTCAAAGCAAATACCAGAAAATCAAACCCAAAACTGCTTTAAACTATAAGAAAGTTTATTACCTCACATAACTGGAGATCCAAAAGTAGGACAGACTTAAGAGTGGATAACCCCATAACCCTCGTTCCATTTCTCTGCTATTCTTTTGGCCTCCCCCATGTGTTGACTTTATACTCACAATGACATCAAACGGACTGTAGCAATTTCAAACCTTATATCAAAGCTCAACATATCCAGTGGGAGCATGAATCACTTCTGGAAGTTCCCCTGGAAAAGCTTTTCTAGAAGCATCCTGCAAATTTATCCTTGTAACTCACTGAAGTAAACTGGGGAACATGCAAAATCCTAATCCGGTCCCTGGCAAGAGGATGCTATTATTCTTAGACCAGTCTAGACCAACCCTGGAGCTGAGGATGCTGAGATATACCAACTGTGGGTAAGAGGGAGGGGTTCCTGAACCACATCAAGGTTCTGTTGAAAAAAAAAGGAGGGAAAAGATGTTGAGTAGGTGAAGAGCTTACATTTTCTATTTCCAGCATCTTGTAGACAAACAAAACATCCACACATGCAAAGTTTATGCTTTATTTCAACAGTAAGTTCCTTGAGAGAAGGAAGCATGTTCTACTCTTGTTAATACTACTACTAGTGTCTAACTCAGTATCCTGAACATAGTTGGAATTAAAGTTGTTTTTTTCCTGTCAACAAGCCTTAGTGAGAGAAAATGACTTAATTTAGACTCTTGAACTCTTTTGTAGATTGCCAGATTTTCTTGCTAATCAATTTGATTCCCAAGACTTAAAACTGCTGGGGTATAAAAGAAAAATCTCAAGTCTACAGATTTGCATATATTCAATAACTGTATTAATGTACTAGTGACTTTTTCTGGAAAAGTAAATCACAGTGAAGTCCTTAAAGTTCATTTTTCTTATCAAAATGAAGCCAGAAAGATGAAGATGTCCTGCTTCTCTAGGGACACAGTTGTCAAACTTAAAAAGTTCCATATCTTCCAGAAATTCCAAGATTCTTTACTGTCAAAATAGAGATGACTGATTTTAAAAAACAGTTGATTTTCAAAGGTGTGAATTTTATATTATCGATGGAGATTTAAGTCTCTGAAGCAGGGGAAAAAATATGCCTCTATTCAAAGTTTTCATCACTAGGGAAATTTGGATCATCACTAAATTGACTCCTATATCTCTCTCCCTATCCTATCAAAAAGTATTTTATAAAAAGTTTGGAGCTGTAAGGTGATACTTATTTCCTTTAATGTCTCCTCAGTAGGGCCATTGAGAAAGTCACTGCTTGTAAATGCTGGTTGACATTGGTAAGCTTGGCTTGTAGAAGTGCCCTTGATTTGAGGATTAGTGAACAAGGGTTCTAGTATCAGCCCAGACCATGGCTGTGATCAGGACTTAACTAATGAACCACTCAATTTCTCCTGCAAAATGAGACTCAGTACTTAAGCATAATTTCAGGCACACAATGTTAACAATTCAATACACTTCCTTCCTCATCCATTTCTCCAAATGTTCCAACTAATCATAAACGTTCATTCGGCCTCCAAATAGGCCAGGAACTTAGCAAAAAAGAAAGAAGAGGCCTGCCTGGGGAAGGGGTTAGCGGTACCGCCGACCCCTGTCGCAGTCTGGGGTCCCCAGCACCGAGACGGGCGGCTACAATTAAAGTTCGTCGCGGCCAGGGACCCTGATTCGGGGCGTCACTGAGGGCGTGTACCCTACATCTCGCCCTCCGGGAGAGGAGAGAAACGGGAGCTGCGTGAAGGCAACGCAGTACACAGGCTGGAGTCATCGCGACCCAGGGCACCGCCACGCACTGCAGTTCCACCTACCCGAAAACAGGGTGGGGGCACGGACAAAATGGCGCAGCCATACGGTTCACGGTGGGCAACTCCCCGCCGGCGCGCGCCTGACCCTTCCAGGCCATTTCCGGACCTGCGGAACCGGAAGTGGGCCCCAGGCGCGCGCCTGGGAGTGAGTGGGCGGGGCTGTTCTCCCGGAAATGCCTGCGGTCTTGGCCCAGCGCCTGGTCCCCTTGGACCCCGGGTTTCCGCAGTTCCGCAGAGGCGCTGTTGCGTAGGGAGGGAGGGTCCCGCGAGTTTTTTGCGATCTCGATTCTCTGTGCCTCTGTGGGAAGGCAGGACCCTGTTAGGACAGCGATCCCACAGTGGGTTGGGAGGGGGAGTCTCAGAGGGACCCTGGCCCTTGACCTACCTAGAGAGAGAATAGAGTTTGGCCAGCCCATTGGCAAAAGCGTCGTTTCCTTGTCCCAAAGGGGAGGAGCGTGATGGACGGGTTCCTGACTCCCCGGGAGTCCGCAAAATTCATTGCGGAAAACAGCCAGGATGTATTCATTGATGGTGGAGGCGTGCAGAGGGTGGCCGAGCTGCTGCTCACCAAGGCCTCGGGGCTGGAGCTGCGCGTGGGCGGCTGGAAGGCCCTTCATGAGCTGAACCCCAGGGAGGCTGACGAGGCCGCGGTCAACTGGGTGTTCGTGACAGACACGCTCAACTTCTCCTTCTGGTCGGAGCATGACGAGCACAAATGTCTGGTGGGGTATAGGGGGAGAACGTACAGTGGGTACTGGTCCCTGTGCGCCGCGATCAACAGAGCCCTTGACGAAGGTTGGTGCCCCTTTCTGCCGGTCAGACCTGGCAGCCTTTGAGATTTCAGTTAACTGGGAGGGTCCCAAGGAGGGGGTTGGAAGATAGAATAATGTGTTAATAAGGCGAGCTTGAAGTTCTTCATTGCCACTCCTCTGCTTAAAAGTATGAGAAGAGGCTGGCGTTAAATCCTTATTCAGTGGTAAACGATCCTAATATTTATTATTATCACAGCAAAGTATAAAGTGTCAGTTTTCTCAAGAACGCCACTTTGATGACATCAGCAAACAAAGGAACAGATACAACATTTTATGCAGTCACAATACATTTGATGTAATATAGAAACGGATGAATAAGTGCAGACGAGCAAATAGAAAATGAGGGAGTCTGTCATTTTTTATTATTCATCCACTTTCAGTGCATTCATGTAACACTCAGGTTTCGTATTAACCGTATATTGTAAAAGCAAGGGTCTAACGAATAAAAGTATGACATTGTTAATCAGCGGTTTTTGTTTTTGTTTTTTTCCCAAGGGATACCAATAACTAGTGCTTCGTACTATGCCACAGTCACCCTGGATCAGGTTCGGCATATATTCCGTTCTGACACTGACGTTCCTATGCCTTTGATAGAAGAGAGGCATCGGATTCTCAATGAAACCGGGAACATTCTGCTTGAGAAGTTTGAAGGCTCTTTTCTTAATTGTGTCCGAAAAAGTGAAAAAAGTGCACAGAAGTTAATGCACCTGATAGTTGAAAACTTTCCTTCTTACAGAGATGTGACTCAGTTTGAGGTGAGTTGCTTCTGTTGGGGATTTTAGAATTCTTAATTATCTTTTCATAGTTAACTCTTTTCCTCCCACAACTCCTTTTGAGAATAAAAACTTAAATTTTAAAGTTCTTATGGACAAGGAATACTAACAAAATTAAGTAGTGTTTTGAAGACATTATTTCTCTTATGTTTTCTAATCAGTTTATTTCCTTTTTTCGTTGTCCTTTTAAAATGTTTGAAACCTGAAAAAACACTAGACTGTCAGCATGATGTTGTCACTTAGGGATAATGAGGTCCTTTGAATACTTCAAAAAATTTACATCGTTGGATGAAAATCAGAATGTATACTAAATTTTCTCTAATAAAAATATTTTTTTGCAGAGTTCTACTGTATATATATACTATATGTTTTCCTTTTCACGCACAAAGAAGTAATAACGATATTATTTGCTTTCAAGTACAAAAAATTTTCAAGAGACATAATTTTAAAATGGTGAACATTTTGTATACCCTCCCAGTGTACACCTGGATTTTGTTTTTGTAAAATTCTTTTAGAATCTGTTATCACTGTGTATTTTAACTGATAAGAAGTGAAAGCAACTTCAGCAGAATCACGTAATATAAATATGTTGAATAAGCTAATGAATACTTGTCAAATTGAAATTTTAAACCCTCCCTTTGTAATCGCAATTCGACAACTAATATTACCAATAATATTGTTTATGTCACCCTTTATGATTTCCAAGGCGTTTGTGCATAAAAACATCTTGATCTCATTTGATCCACAGAACAACTCTATGGGGCCTAAGGACAAGGAACATTATTGTCCCCTTTGCAGACCAGGAACCAGTCGAAAAAGAAAATTTAGTTTATCTTGGGTCATTTTGACAGGAAATAGCTAGCTTCTTGATTCTACAGTAAAATGAAAGATGGCCCGATTATGTTAAGATTCTTTAAATTGCAAGTGACAGACACAAAACTAGAAAAAACTTAAATCAAAAAGAAGAATTTTTAGATGAATATTGGTGATAGGAACATCTCGGATCAAGTACTTAATGCCATCAAGATTCAGCCTCTCCTCTTTGCTTCTGTTGACTTCATTTTTCTTTTATTGTAGACCAGCTTCATGAAGTAGAAAAGATCCATGAATTTTGCATCTTACTGCTTCAGCGCACGAGTGTGAGAGAGACAGACAGACAGAGACAGAGGGAGACCCAGAGACAGAGACAGAGAGACAGAGACACCCTTTCTGGTGTGTGTTGCAGGGAGGATATGGGTGTGGATTGGACAGAGGCAGTTCCTAGAAAAAAGGCCCTAGGTCAACTTGCTGTTGAACTTCATTCTGTGCTGACTAACGATTTTGCTAATGCAGAAGTTACTTTGAGATTTACCTTTGTCTTCAAGGTGTGTTATATTCAGGTCATCTAAATATATTACACACTGTATAAAAGAAATCAAACTGCTATTAATGTGGCTAAGAATCCATGTATGCCAGAATTGATATGGTTGTGGTAGATGGGCTGAGATTAAATTTAACATGACTTCAGCATGGAGTAAATTCAGGACATCCTATAGTTTTTTCTTTCAAATGTCCTGAGTTTTGTTTTTGTAGAAGAAAGGAGTGATTTTTTTTGTAGATTATAATATCGATTTAGTTAACATTTGCTGATTTTCTGTTTTATTTACGGCACGGTGCTTTTGATTTGCTTTGCTGAAAAGTTCAATTTTTAAAAATGACCAGGATATAGATTAATTTTAAGGCCGATACATTTAAAAATGAAAATTAGTACCTGAACCATTTCCCATCAGTACTCATTTCTAAAATGCATTTTTATAGAAAAATCCCCAAAGTGTAACAAAAGTCATACTTAAGAATTCTAACACTTTCTTAAAGGAGTATTATATTTTTTCATTTATTTTTTCCATAAGATTATCATTAGTGTTACCCAAAGCACTGTAACCCCTATGATTCCTAACATAACAATGAATATATAGTAGGTGCTCACTTAATGCTTTGATTAGTCAATTTACAGTTATCTTTGTATATTCATTTAAAAGATACACAAATAACTAAAGCACTTTGTGCAACTAATTCCAAATCTGGAAGGATTCTTATGAACAATTTTGTGACTGCTTTGAAATTCAGAAAGTATTAAAATCAAATATCTTTTTATCCATATTTAAAATTTTTCTAATTGTAAAAGTAAAATATATCAATTACAGAATTTGGAAGGTATAGAGAAGTAGTCTTTATTTTACCAACAGGTAATTACCACCGATTATAATTTGGTCATTTTCTCTGTGTATGTGAATGTGTATACATATAGGCAGGGGAGGATTAGGATCATGCCGTATAAACTTTTAAAATTTAACACATTATGAACATCTTTTTATGTCAATAAAATTATTTCACAGTACAATTTTTTTCATAGTATCAATTTTAATGGCTTCACAGTATTTTACTGTATACAATCCCATAATTATTTGCCCAAATTATTTTACTGCAGTAATTGCATTTGATACAGTTTATTTTTTAAATTGAATTTTATGTCTTCTTGTTTTCAATTTTTTGCAGTACTGAGCGATACTGCACAACAGTTTAACATCCATAATTATTTCCTTAGAATGAATTCCTAGTAATAGAAATAGTGAATCAGAGCATCGCCAGTATCTTCAGTCTTGTACTGTATAAAAATGCTCACAGTTCTCTAGAAAGATGATAACACAGATGATCAGCAGTAGCAGATGAGACTGCCCTTTTCCTTACTCTTTCAGAACATGGTATTGGTTGTTATATTTTTTAATCTTTAACAAGTTGCATAAAAAGTCATAATTATTTTTAATGTATACCTATTTACTGAGATTATTATTCACTTTAAGATATTATAAACAAATTAATGAAATTAGAAAATTTTAATTCAGACGGGGAACAATTGCCAGGTTGTCATATTTTGATATGACATAGGTTTGGGAATATAGGTTATTCCTAAGTGATGTAGGGATACTTCTTATTGAAGAAAATCATCTCATGGTCGTAGTTTTTCATTTACAATTATTTTATAAAGGTACTATTTTGAAAATATTTTATTTACAAAAAAAAAAATAGGGAATTTATTTTGAGATTTGCTATTTTCAGTGATGTCAGTTAATATTTTGGAGACATAGAATTTGATTATTAAAAGCGTTTGATTACTAAAACCATGTCACCTTTTAAGAAAATGTTTTATAGATAATTCGAATTTATTTTTAGATTCCTCACTTGAATCATATACACACACACACACACACATATTTCATTTTAAGGATATTGTAATCTAATTTTTATGATGTACTCGTTGGCTACCATGCAGTGGTCATAATGTGACAATTTATGTTTTGTTAGATGCTAGCATTGATTTTGATATATGTCTGGTTCCTAGATTTTTCTAGTTCGCTCTGTGAATCTTGTTAAAAATAAGAGACAATAGCTTCTGTCTATCATAGTAAACATCATGATATAATGTGTTTGATACACAGTTTTATTTTATAAATTAAGTTTATGTCTTGCTGTTTAGTAAACTAGAATTAGAAACCTAGTTATCATATATAAATCCAGTTCTTAGTGGTGATTCGTTCTCCCAGCATTCAATAATTTGCAGACTTTACACCATGTCAAAAAAGGAGTATATGTATTTGCTCTGGAAAACAAAATACTGAATTTCCTAATGTTGGCCCTAGAAAACTTTTACTTAGTGAAAGTAGGTTTGGATCGATTAAGCAATATTAGGTGGTCATTAGGACATAGTATCACTGAATTTTTTTTTTTTCAGTAAATAAAGGAATCTATATTGTCATCTGAAGGAATTTATGTATGGAGCCTTTCTTTCCTTGAAGAATTTGATTTCATTTTTTATTTAATTATTTATGTCATTTAATTAACATATTCTCCAGGATGGTCAGAATATACTTTGGGAACCAATAATATTGATTATTCCCATTTAGTAGATGAGCAATTATAAAAGATGATTTGGGGCTATTACCTTTGATATTAGGATTAGGAGTAGACTGTAATTATTTGTCCATGTTTTTCCATAGTTTATGCTGATCTGTACTTGTAGTTTTATAGAGACTTTTAGAGTTAAGTTATAACTCACTACCTTATAATGCTGGATTAAATTCGTTTCTTCCATGTATAATTGGTAGTTTATTTTGTTATATGGACTTACTTATTGACTTTGACCATTTCTAAAAATGAGAGACTTGACAAATTCTGGCTGTTAATCAAGTATGTCTTTATTTCTGAAATAAGTTAATCATATCTGAAAAGGAACAGGTAAAAAATAAATGTCGTGATTCTCTTCAGAGGTAAGTTTAGGGATGATTATTTTCTTCTTTATACTCTTCGAGTTTTATATGATTAACATGAATTATGTTGCAATTAAAAAAACATATATATATTTAAGAAACTTTCTAAAGAAATACTATCTAGCCATTAAAAATAGTAAGTAGGTAGATTATAGTGACACAGAAATAAGTACACAAAGTGATGCCATTGAAAAAGAACACTAAATAGTACTACGATTGCATAAATTGTATTTTCTGTGCCTTGAAAAATATAGGAAGTAAATTTGTAGTGATAGAGATAATTTAATGTTTATTAGACTCTCTTTTTTTTCTGCAAAAGGTCTCTAAATTTTTAACAGCAGGGTAAGGTTATTCTGCTCTTGAAAAATGTTTTCAATGTCTTTTTTCTTTTTTTTTTTTTATAAATATTTCATAAAACTTTCAGATACCCAGGTAACATTTATATTCTCTTCATTCATCAGGGGAAAAAAATTTCTTTTTACAAACGAGCCCAAATCCTTGTGGCGGATACATGGAGTGTGTTAGAGGGAAAAGGAGACGGCTGCTTTAAGGACATCTCCAGCATCACCATGTTTGCTGACTATAGATTACCTCAGGTTCTTGTTTACCTGGGAGCCCTGAAATATTCTGATGAACTACTGGCGAAGCTTCTCAAAGGTTTGCCAGCTTATTTAAGACATTCTCTATTATACTATGAGTTGTTGTTGAGTCTATGTCTGGTTTCTTTCACAAAACGTCTCCTTTTCTTAGAAAAACAGTATTTTTTGTTGATGGGATGTGTAAAGAAAAAGGCAAGGGCAATTATATAGAGAGAAAATTGCTTTTTGTTGTTTACACTGTGGAATATGAGTATTGTGGGAAGTTGCATTATTTGAGCTTTATAATTTTAGAGCATCATAATAAAATGAAATCTAACTTTACGTTACATGAAAGTATGTGACACTAAGACAGTTCATCTGGTATAGTATTTGAAGAGCATTAAGCTGAAGAGCACACTACACTGTGCAATAAAAGGTGGACTGAGATGTAATATGTACTGGGTTTCGAGTCAGGTGGCTTCAAGATCTGCTGCTGGGTTATCTTATTGATTCTCAAGAGTGGGAGCCTTATTATAATATATAAGTACAGATAATTGTGTTTGTGTGAAAATTAGCTTTTTGTTTTTTAAACATTTCTTTGTATAAGAAAAATAATTGTATAATTTTAACATTAATTTCTCTTTTGGCGGTACAGTATTTTCAGCTTTTTTCTTTATTTTTAAGAAAGTCATTTTTATGACTGAATAATACTCTCTTGTGAAATAGATTTCAATCACCCAAAATAAGAATAACACAGAATATAAAGGTACTATTATTCCTGTGGTTACTTTTATCTGACTTTTATGCTGCCTCGCGCAATCCATTTTATCTCTATTTCTTCATTTGAAAAATAACAAGTGTTTTATGTCATAATGCCCATGTCTTGGATCATTAATTGTTGGGTACATTTAAAAGGGACAACTGTTGGCAATCAGGGCTTCTTTTACATACAACCATATTCAGCTGATCTTTTTTGACCAGTATATGCACTGCTCATTCCTATCTCTAAATATTCTCTTGCTTTGTTTCCTTCATCTACATTTTTTTTCTTTCTTTATTTTAATTCAAATCCTATGCATTGACAAAGGCTTAGCTTAAATATTGCCTCTTCCACAAAGCTTTTCCCGACTTCTGAACCTTTGCAATCTGTGAGGTCAACCAAGGGTTGCCTCACCTTAAAAAAAAAATGTGTGTGTGTGTGTGTGTATGTGTGTGTGTGTGTGTGTGTGTGTGTGTGTGTATGTATATATGAAATTATACACACACATTTATATGATTCAAGTGAGGAATCTAAAAATAAATTCAAATTATCTATAAAACATTTTCTTAAAGGGTAACATGGTTTTTGTCATCAGATACTTTTAATAATCAAATTCTATGTCTCTAAAATATTAACTGATATTACTGAAAATATCAGCAAATCCCAAAATAAAAATTCCCCTTAGTTTACTTAAGCAAAGTGGATTTTTTTTCAAAATGCACTTTACTAGCAAACTAGAGAAAAAAACTAAATGCAAAGGAGTATACACTGATTTTTTAAAAACTATCTTAAGTGAAATCTAGAACCAGGTGACTTGGCTAGGTGAAGTAGAACCTTCCTTTACTGGCCTCTAATGATCATTCTTTCAAACTTGAGGATGTGCTACACTTACATTCCTTTTCCTCTCCTCTCTTCTGGATATCTCCAGGATTGCCCTTGGAAGGCCAACCCAGGTTTCTTTTCATTTTATCTTTAACTCATCTCTTCACCAAAGGTGTATACTTTTAAGCCAATTATGACAATGCAGTTTGGCTAAATTTAGATTCTTCAGAGTGATTCCAGGGCTGACTTTTAGGGCTAATATTTTGGCCACGTTACCTTCCTTGACTCTGTGTCAGTCCTCTAGAATGGTTTCATTTTTTTTCTTCTTCAAAGTACACGTCCTACTCCATACTGTAAGTTGCTATATTAGTTACTTTATTAGTTCCCTAAGGCTGACATAACAAATTTTCGCAAACTGAATGGCTTAAAACAACTGAAATTTATTCTTTCATGGCTGTGCTCCCTCTGAAGGCTCTTGGGAAGAATCCTTCCTCACTTCTTTCTAACTTCTCATGTCTCCCAGCAATCCTTGGCATTCCTTGACTTGTAGCTGCATCACTCCAAGCATGGCTTTTTTTTCTGTGTGTATCCTCTCTCTCTTTGTATCTTCTCCTTTTCTTATGAGGATACTAGTCATGACAGTTAAGGCCCACCTTAATCCAGTATGACTTCACCTTAATTTGATTATATCTGCAAAGACACTGTTTACAAATAAGACCACATTCACAGGTACCAGGAGTTAGGACTTGAATGTATCTTTTGTGGGAACATAGTTCAATACTGTATTTATTGCCGGGTAACAAATTATGCTAAAATTTGTGACTTAAAACAAAAGACATGTATTATCTCATGGTTTCTGTGGGTCAGGAATCTGGGAGTTGTTTAACTGGATGCCACTAGCTTAAGGTGGCAATGAAGCTTTCATCTGTGGCAGTGGTCTCATCTAATGACTACTTGGGTGGTGGTATCTGCCTCCAAGGACTTGACCATTGTCAGTTGACTTGACAATTCTGGCAAGTCAATAGTCAAGTTTTGAGGACTTGATTAACAAAAGAACTGAAGAGGAAGGGATGGATTTGTATGTTAGCACCTGGGACAAATTAAGGAAATACAGAGTTATCTGTTCTTCCACTTGCCCCAGTGACCGGTGCCTGAGCCCTGGAGGGAGATGGATGGAAGGGACATAAGTAACAACACTAAAGGTCCCAGGTAACAGAGTGGAACCCAGTGGGGCTGGGTATTTTCCCTGTCTCAGTGGATCACAGGGCCTATCGAGTACTCTGAAGCTCTGTGCAATAGTACAGACTGGTGGCCAGAGGCCAAATACAGCCTGCAGATGTGTTTTGTTTGACCTGAGCAGTGTTTTAAGCAATTAAAAAAAATTTTTTTATTTATTTAAATTAGTTTCAAGTATACAGTACATTGGTTAGACATCTATAATGTTCATCAAACGATCCTAGTTGCTCCCTCCCTCCCCTGGCCTTCCACTTAACCATCATGTTAATGCTAACTGCATTCCCTGTTATGCTCCCCGTACCCAACTATCAACTACTAAATAACTGAAATAGTATTTGTCTTTCTCTGTCTGACTTATTTCACTCAGCATAATAACCTCTAGCTCCATTTATGTCATTGCAAATGGTAGGATTTCATGTCATGTTTAATGGCTGAGCAATATTTCATTGTATATATGAACCATAACTTCTTTATCCAATCGTCTGTTGACGGGCATTTAGGTTGCTTCCATATCTTGGCTATTGTAAATTCTCTTGCCGTGAACACAGGGATGCACAGATCTTTACAAATTAGTGTTTTGGTTTTCCTTAGATAAATACCCAGTAGTGCAACTGCTGGGTCAAAAGGTATATCCATTTTTAATTTTTTGAGAAACCTCCAGATTGTTTTCCATAGTGGCTGTACCAATTTGCATTCCCACCAACAG